TAATTTAAAAACTTACAACTCATAACTAAACACATAACCTAAAATCCTATTCATAGCTCATAAAAAATTTTAAAAAAATTCTGGAAATATTTTTTATTTAAAATATAAAAATAACAGGTGTAAAAAAAAAAAAAACCCGAACACTGTTCCGGTCAACCGGCCGAACGTCTAGATTAGCCAAATTTTCCCACCTAAAAAGGAGTTTTCAAAAGTGAGTGTATAATTATAATTTAAAAACTCAAAACAAATACCACAATGAATCAATTGATGAAAATATGTTTGGAGAGCTTCTCCAAACACAACTCAAAATTCCCTTTCATTCATTCATTCTCTGTTTCTTTTCATGAAAAATATATTTATATATTTTTTTAGTATTTAGTATCACGGAATATAAAAGTTAATAGAAAGGGTCTTTATAAATTTTTGGAGGGGTCTTGATCCCCCGCCCTTACTCTGGAGCTTAATTATACTTGTGAGATAATTACAGGTATTCAGAATTTACTACATAGTGGTGAGTCCAATGTGACCCTCATCATCAAAATATATGTACGTAGAGCAAAATATATACTTGAGGCTTCAAGGAACCTGCTGAAATTCATTCGGTCATGAATATCATTTTCCAATATATTTATGACTAGCTTAATGAAACTCAACAGAGCTGTACAGGGGAAAATTCCACTTGGCATATTCCTCATAACCATACAAAATACAAATCAAAAGAAATCCAGCAAAACAGAGAAAGAAAATAAGATACTAATTGGTATATTGAAATGAAATAAAATAAAATAGAACCATCATTTTTTAACCACCCTATGAAATAATCAACGCTCCTGATAACTTAAATACTCTCTTCCATCAATAGGTACTCCCAGCTTGTCGCCCGCATGCCCAGCATAGCTTTTCCCTTATTTTGACCAGGGGCAAATCCTTATCCCTACTTTCAACACATTCCATTTCAAAATCAAGTCTCCCTGCATAAGGGTAAATAATGATTTAATTTACAACGTATTTCTTATAATTTTTTAATATACCAAATTTAAGAAGAACAAACATTTTGATGAAATAATGATTTTATTCTATTTCATTTTAGTGAATTAAACACTATCTGTTTGGTAACATTTACGTTTTCAGTTTATATTTACAAAAAATTTATAAATTGATTTTTGTTTAATTTTAGAAAAATATAAACTACAAACGCGTTTGGTTTAGACAAAATGTTTAAAAAAAATTTAAAATATAAAAAAGAGTAAGAAATGGCAAGTGGTGGCGGGTGGTGGGTGGAGACCAGTGGTGGTGGCGACGGAAGACGGTGGTGAAAAATAATGGCGAGTGGTGGTGGCGGAAGACGGTGGTGGAAAATGATGGTGGGTGGTGGTGGCGGAAGACGGTGGTGGAAAATGGTTGCAGGTGGTGGTTGGTGTTGGGTGGTAAAAAAAAAAAATTCAAAACTCAAAACGGAAACACATTTTTTGAGTTTATATTTTTTGGCCAAATTTATAAACTGAGACCACTGATTTATAAATTAAAAATTTACCAAACAAGTTTTTATTTGAAT